GTTGAGGTACTGTGCTACAAGCCGGAAGGTCGCGGGTTCAAGTCCCGATGAGGTCATTGGGTTTTTTCAATTGACCTAATCCTTCCAACCGCACTATGGCCCTGGGGTCGACTCAATCTCTAACAGAAATGAGTACCACGAATATTCTTGGGGGTAAAGGGCGGCCGCCATCTATGAGCCAATTGTCTAGAAAATGTGGGAACCTCAACATCTCGCAGCCCTATGGGCCTCCACGGCCTGTTGCAGGGATACCGTTACTTTTTTTTTTTGTTGCTCGTAGGGTGGGACCAAGTCCCTTGTACTGCGGCCACTTCTGGCCTATTGTACCAGCCTCAGATGATAGGTGAGGGTGATTGTGGAGCAATTGGTGGAATGAAGATTGGCAGAGGAAACCGAACTACTCGGAGAAAACCTGCCCCACCACCATTTAGTCCACCACAAATCCCACTTTACCGGATCCAGGATCGAACCCCGGCCGCCGCGATGGGAAGCCAGCGACTAACAGCTTGAGCAATGGCGCGGCTCAGAGCAATATGTTCATCCGGTTCAAAGTTGAGGACTTGCCTTGATTCACCAATGTCGAGACAGTGCCACGGGACCGAGTGAGGGTATTCACCTCTTTGACTAGATCGACACCTTGCAGTAGGAAATGAATCTCTCAGGATCCAGCCAACGTACTCTTTGCCTCATATAAAGAAAGCAGCAGGTTCGTATTTTGCCCGGTTGCGGGTAATCTGATTGTTTTCTCGGAATTTATTTTGTTCTTCAAGGTTAATGTCCAGTCAGCAGCTCCTGCCGGTTTCAACACAGTATTCCCATTGCAGTATCATCTTCATTACATGCCGTGTAGCCTAAGAATTGTTGTGATTAATCCTTAATTAATGCAAGTTTCATTTCTCTATGAAAACGGATAACGTAACGAACACACTGAAAAGTGTCGAAGGGGCATCTAAATAGAAAACACGCACAAAGGAACACGTAAGATTTGAGGTTTTCACGACGGTGACTATGAAGGAAGCCTTCTGTTAGCCGGGACAGCTACTATATTATAGAATGCAACAATATTGTTAACATCCGGGTTTATGTTCCTGAAATACACCACAGTTGACAAGGGCACGGCTTTAGATGAGAATCTGTGGGTTAGGACACTGCCCATAATCCATAACCCCCCCCCCCCCNCGGAGAAGAGTGTGGAACGGCGGGACTTGATAAAAGCAGTGTAGCAGCATTGGCTTATACAACCACGGAATTAACAGATTGTACAGGATGATTCTAAATTATTGTCGGGGTTTTTGTGGCCTATAATTTTCAAACCGGAAATAAAAAAGTAAAAATGCTTACTGAATATGAAAGTGTAACTCAATTAAGCAAGATATTAATGCGACAAGTACAGTTTTGTAAAATAAAACTTCTTTTGAGTTACACTTTCTTATTCCATAAGATATTTTGTTATTTCCGGTTTGAAAATTATAGGCCACGGAAACACCGACAATAATTTAGAAGTATCTTGTATGCGCAAGAGTTTCTATACATACATAACACCACTTTTATGTTATTTCTTTTATAATCTTCATATTGTGTTCAAAATATTTAGTTCACACAAAAAAATACATTTTCAGTAACGTTAAAATACAATGCAAATAACTGCATAACTTCGCCCTAAGTCACTCGTGGTTTCGGTTACACGTCCTCGACAATGGATCTGAGTATTGCAGTGCGTGCTTCAGAACTCCGTATTCAGAAATTCAACAATGCAAGAAGCAAAGAAACGAAACACATTGTATAAAAGAAAACTATAAAGATTACTGCAGACTGGTAAATATTTACCGAAGTTTCGGAAGAATATATTGCATCCACGTCAGGTCTACAGAGTGAAATATCGGTGAACACCTACCAGAAAACACGGCGTCACAATCATCGCAGTAAGAACTTCAAATCTCACAAATGTAACAAGAGAACCGTGTTGATACAGGCCAGTCCCACTCCCTAGGTCACCTCATCCTCACTTGGTGGTCTTTACCCTCCCTGGAAAGAGTTTTGGTGACCACTGGCTAAGAGACAGAACTGCGGAAAGAGAAGTCATTGCCCCCACCGGGGATGCAATCCCGGTCATTCAGCCCGTAGCCGGCGACTTCAATGACTTAGGCATACCAGACCCACTCGATTGTAACTACCGAGTCAGGAGACGGACTCTTTAGGACTCGGAACCTAACAGAAACGATAACAGCATCACATGTCTCGAAATGCTGACAAGTTGCTTATGGATATCTGCAGGAGGTTCAATTTCTGTCGCCAATCGTCAGGGGCACGGAGCATTCTGACAGCGTTGGTATGTGGCTATTGCAATCCTGTAAGCCATTTTTCCGCGCGAGGATAGGCTAGAGAGAGACATCTGACAATAAATACTAATTTCACAGCTTCTCTTATTGATCTCTTATGCTATTCTTATGTCGAGAATGTTAAAATGTTTCGGTGTACATTGCGGTCGCCATCTTCACGGTGAATGTGAGATGGATGGGTCTCATGCGAAAGACAAGGGCGAGAAGAACTCTGCTGTCCAATGGGAAGCTAGTTTTGTGATTAAGAAGAGCGATCGGAGGAAGAGATATACTGGATAGCTCAGTCAGTATAGTGACGGGCTTCAAGCTGGACGACTGGGTGTCCATTCCCGGAAAGGTCAAGAGATTATTCTCTACTCCACAGTGTCCTCTGGCGTCACCCAGCCTCCTATCCAATAAGTACGAGGGATTTTCTCCTTGAGGGGTAAGGCAACCGAGGCGTGAAGCTGACCACTTACCTCCATCTAATGTTGGGTCAAAAAGTGTGGAGCTATACATCCAATCTACAACACGTCTTCGTGGAGTGGTGCTTAATTAATTAAGCACTAGTACAATTCTACCGTATATTTACCTTCATTGCAGGATGACAGGTGACGCAAGACCTCACTAATTTCTTTACATTCACATTCTGAATTGGCTATGTCAGTGGCTTCCATGATGGAACGCGGAAAGCAATATGGATATCTGCTACGGTTCCAATTTCATATAAATTTGTTTGGCATCGCCAGAATGGAGTCTTAACTTAGTTCTGTTTACTACATATATCGTTTTCACGAATTTCGGTTGTAGCTTGAGTAAGCAGAATTACAATTTCTCCCAACTGGAAGGTTGCAGTAACAATTGCTCAGGCTTTTTGCGACCGCTTCGCAATTCTTTAAATTTAATTTGGCGTGCGAAACAAATCGGTCAGATTCGTTGATGTTTACAAGCACAACAGCCCCCGTCATATCTGAGTGGTTCGGTTTCAGTCTCTTAGCTCATATCCTGACTCCATTGTGAAGTACAGTATTGTAGCCTGCTCATAGGAAGTGCTGTACATATGTACATACACCAGCAACATGTAGAATTATTTATTATTATTCTTAGTGGGGTGAGACTGAGTCCCTTGTACTGCCGCCACTACTGGTCTACTGTACCAGCCCCAGATGATAGGTGGTGGTGATTGTGGAGCAATTGGTGGAATGAAAATTGTAAGCCGAAAATTTGAAATGAGAGTTGAGGGTGTCTTTCTAATATTATGCTGAGGAGAATATTTTTATCTAAGGGGGATGGAATAAGGGGAGTTTGGGGAAATCCGCTTGAGGTGGGCTTCATAATTTGTACTTCTAGTCAGATATTATTAGAACGATCAAATCAAGGAGGATGAGATGTAAAGGTAGCACGCACGGGATAGAGCGGAAGTGAATTCGACGTTCTTGTATGAAAACGTAAGGAATGGAGATAATTAGGAAGACCTAGAAATAAATGGGAAAATGATATTGAAATGGATCTTAAGGAAGAAGTATAGTGGAATCTGAAAACAAATATTATTTTCCTCTGTTTGAACTTCTTGTGATTGTAGTTGTAGGAAAGCGAATATTTGTAAACACTTCAAAATATTTTTGAAGTGCTTAATTTGGGGCATACTAACCTTCAAACGCAAAACTCAAAACACTGTTACATATTGTTACGTGTGACTTATAAGACGAGTTTTGTATTGGACGATTAGAATTATTGACACCTAATTCATTCAGTTCGGGACTACAGGCAATACAGCGCTATCGCTGTTCTACACGCTTTCCAATTCATCGTTACACATGCACTAGGGTTCTCAGTCTTCACTTGTCGTATCCTGGCAACGAATTTATAACAATCTCTCTGTCGCTTCAAATCACACATGAAGTCTTCTTTTCACAGTCTAATTCCTTTCTTGCCATTTCTTCTCAGTAATCTTCGACTGCCATCTCCAGAAGTCGACCCAATTCTCGAATGAACTCTTCTTTAACTAACTCTCTTTACTTCTTACAACAATTAACTCGAACTACCTTCTTTGTCCCTCGGCACGGTCCACGCAGAAAACACAGCTTCTCTAATGTTGAGAAGGCTTCTTTACTGATCCCTTGCCTAGCATTGAACAACCTATTGTTGCTCGCCTGTGTTTCCGCTGGAATGTGTTTACCGAGTCGTTGCCTACCAACGACTCGTTTCTCATCCTGGTACGATTTCAACACTATCGCTAATGGCGACAATACAACGGTACTGGGCGGTAGTTCCAGTAGGTAGCAGCAGTATTCTCATATTCATTGTATCTTCTATTCAGTAATCCACTAAATTGATCGAGAGGCTGGAACAGATGTCTCCTTTCACGGAATAGAGGAAGGCTTGAGATCAATGAATGCAAAGCCAGCTGCTGGGCCCTATTCTCAACCAGCTTAAATTTATTTAATTTATGGTTTATTTAGTAAGTCTCTCATACAGGATTGAATAAGAGGATGATTAGTCAGATGGCGGAAGCGGCAGGTTAAAATCTGAGGTAATAACCCGGGCATTTGGTTGGTGTGAGTCGCTTGAATCGACTCAGCACCTTTACAGCCTCTTTCTTTGAAGTCCATTTCGACTTTTAAACTTGCCTGCGCTTTTGTTCCCGCTGCCCAGTGGTGACTGGGACACGGAGTAGGGAATGTCACAGTCAGCCGGCAGGTAATTATAACTGCGCCTACGAGAGTGCAGCAGGGACGTCAATGGCGGGAAAGAGCATGGAGGTAGCGGACGTAAGCGCGTAGGAATCAGTTGAACTTGGGAAGTCGTTCGTTAGTGATGTGAGTGCACGATGTTGTGGGTGTTGGTCCTCTTCTTGTCGTCGCTGCTTGGTGTTCAAGGTAAGCTTAACGAATCCAGATGCACGCCACGCGATAATATAGTTCGTATTGCGAGTCCTCGGTATGAGAAAAATGTGAAAGGTTTCAACAGCTACGTTTTAAAGTTTTGAAGTCTGCGTCTAGGATAAAACCCCACTTGCTGATTACTGTGAGATTCACACGAAACATATAAATCACATTCTCAGGACACAATGCATATTTCCTTTATGTTCAAGCAGGTTGTACACAAAGTAAGCGATATCCCGTAAAGGGTTAATATTATGCCGTACTTGGAGGGGGAAGGGGTAATGCATGATTGATGTTCTTGTAACGGCTGTCAGTGTACTGATTGGTGTTAACTTACGGTGACATCTCTCCCACCTGCACACCCGTTATCACAGCAGAAGTAAAACAAAAACTACAACTCTGTCCAGTTAAGAGGGAACACTTATGTTCCTCATGTTGGTACCATACTCACTCACTCATGGAGCTGAGTCCTCCTTGAGAAGCTGCCAATTGTGTAGCTATTCAGGAACTTCCCGGCATATTACGGAATCCGAAGGTTCATTATTCACAAGAGCCCTCCACTGGTCCCTATCCTGAGCCAGATCAATCCAATCCATACCATCCCACCCTATCTCTCTAAGGTACATTTTAATATTGTCCACCCACCTACTTCTTGGTCTACCTAGCGGTTCTTTCCTTCTGGCTTTCCCACCAATATCCTATATGCTTTTCTGTTCGCCCCAGTCGTGCTACATGCTTTTCTCCTTTAATTCTCCTTAACATGATCATTCTAATTACACTTGGAGAAGAGTACAAGTTATGAAGCTCCTCATTATGTAGTTTTCTCCACCCTCCTGTCACTTCATCTCTCTTCGGTCCAAATATTCTCCCCAACACCCTCTTTCTGAGACGGTCAGAGACCAAGTTTCACACCCGTATAGAACTACTGGAAAAATTATAGTTTTGTTTATTCAATTTTTATGTTTTTAGACAGCAGACGAGAAGACCAAAGGTTCTGGACTGAATGGTAGCAAGTGTTACCCAAATTCAATCTCCTCTGAATTTCCACCAGAATCAGGTTTTGATTTGTTATCGTCGTTCCCAAATATCTGAACTGTGTCACATTTTCAAATCATCTGTTTCCTATCTTTATGTAATGATTTTGCCCTACATTTTGGTGACGAGACAGTAACATACACTTAGTTTTCTCAGTGTTTACTTCTAGACTAACCTCCTTACTAGCGCCAGTTAAAGTTTGTGTGTTTCTCTTTATGGTATCTACATTATCACCCAGTAGATTCACGTCATCGGCGTAAACCAACAGCTGATGTGTCCCGTTTAATTTCAGTCCCACCTGGTTTCCCTGGACCTTCCTAACTGCATATTCTAAGGCAATGTTGAAAAGGAGTGGCGATAAAGCATCTCCTTGTTTTAGACCATTCTGGATAGGAAACTTATCAGACAAATGTTTACCTACACGGACTTTACTATACGTTTCGTTTAAACACATTTTAATCAGCCTAACTAGTTTCATGCGTACCCTAACTCTGTGAGAATATTGTACAATTCTTCCCTCCTACCTGAATCATAGGCTTTCTTGAAATTATGAATAGCTGATGTACTCTCTCATTGTACTCCCATTTTTTCTCCAGTACCTGACAATTGAAAAATATTTGATAAGTAGTTAATCTGTTACGTCGAAACACACACTGATGATCCCAATAATTTCATTTATGTATGGACTTAACCTTGAGAGAAGAATATTGGATAATACACAGTATTCTGTGAATTTGATTGCAGTGATATCCCCCTATAATTACTACAGTCAGTTTTATCACCCTTCTTGTGGACGGGTAGAATAATAGACTTCTTCCACTGATCAGGCAATTTTTCCTTATGCCAAATGGAATAAATTAGCTTGTGGATCTTAGAACGTAATATTTCACTTCCTGCTTGAATAAGTTCTGCCGGAATTTTATCACAACCTGGCGATTTATACGTTTTCAATTTTGCAGTTGCAATTTCAACCTCAAAAGGGCTAGGATCAGGTCCTAACGGCTCAGCTGTGTGCATTTCTGTCTGCCTAACATCACTGACCCTATGTACAATCAATAACTGAGAGAAGTAGTTCCTCCACCTATTCAAAATGTTGTGGGAATCTGCAAGCAGATCACCATTCTCATACTTCACTAAGTTACTGCTAGGCTGGTAACCCCTCTTAAAGTCATTTGTTCCTCTATACAGGTCTCTAATGTTCTTGTTCTTACTGTTCATTGCAAGCTCATCAATTTTGTCTTTCAGATATTCCCTCTTTTGTTTCTGAAATTCCTGCTGGTTTCACGTGTTATACTGTTGAGATTATCCCCATTTAACTCGCTTGGATCCTGTAAACACTGCAATTTGGCCTGCTTTCTTTGGTCTAATAATTTTGAGCATTTTGAGCGCCACATCCCAGAAGACTGCTTTCTTCATAGTCACCGCCGTGAAAACCTCAAATCTTACAAGTATCCTGCAATATTTGTTTCTGTTAAACTGGTCGAATCATTTCTCTGTAAGGGGCGGTTGCTATGCATACGAAAGTGCCTGACTCCAGTTTCGCTTTTCCTGCCCGCAAAAACGCCACTGCATATGGTGTGTTAATTGTATGGCGGATTTAATGTCCTTGTATTGAATGGCGTTGTTGATCTCTAAACTGTATTTCTAACCCCTTTAAGTTTCCTTTAGCCATTAAAATTAATGAGACAGAATTTACAGCCTTCAAGACATCGAACTGACTTTCTAATTTCATCCACATCCTAGTTTTAGAATTACAGGACTGTTTAAATTAATTTAAAATTCGACGTAATGTCTAATTTCAGCTTTTCTCCCAAGTTGCATGTTCACTGTGGGCGCAAGCGATCAAACATCGCAGACGTATTTCGAAGTAGCGGTTGTGTGCAAGATGTTAACATTATGTCAGTGTGTGTAAACCGTCTGGCAGATAAAACTTCAGAGCAACTTCGCGTTCTGTGGCTCCCAGAAAACAAACGTACAAGTCCATGAAACTGACTAATACATGAAAGACCAGCATAATGTCTTTTGAAATTTCAACGAGAATTCTTCAGAAGTACTTAACTTCAGTATCCTCAGAAGTCCGAAGAATACGGCTAAATTTGATTGCGTAACAAAGCACTAAGCGGTGTTGCTATCTATAGGAAGTTTTTAGGGCAAAGACAGCGCAATTCGCGACTCGAAAATACGTTCCATTGCAGCCATCTTATGTTTTTGTTCTTAAGTGCTTCGAACTCCTGCTGTAACATATTATTTATTGCTGTCATCTTCTGCTGTAGTTCGTAACTACTAACAACTCTTCAGTGTCTACGCACAGTACGTGTCGATAGAAGAGCGCGCGCTATCGTTTTGTATGCAGTGGACACTGCGGGACTCCCTGTTCGGCTGAACTCAAGACCTTCTTTTTATGACTATCGAAGCAGAGAATACTGAATTTTAGAAACAAGAAAGCTATTGTCGTTTTGATTAACACTTTAAAGGGCCGCGCAATAGCTCAAGCGGTTAGTCGCTTGCTTCCCGCCGCGGCGGCCCGGGTTCGATCCTGGGGTCTTTTCAAGTGCGATTTGTGGTGGAAAAAGTGGCACTAGGGCAGTTTTTCTCCGAGTACTTCAGTTTCCCCTACCAATCTTCATTCCACCAATTGCTCCACAATCACCGTCACTTATCATCTGGGGCTGGTAAAATAGGCCAGAATTGGCGGCAGTACAAGGGACTTAGTCCCACCCCACTAGAAATAATAAAGAAAAATACTTTAAAGACTGGATTTATTCTAATTAATATATAAAATTCAGCTCACACGAAACACGTACATCTCAGCTCTAAAGAACAACCGGTTAATGCTGTTCAGGGACAGAGTCGCTGTTTACTGTGAGAATCATACGGAACACACAAATACATTCTGTGGGCAGAATGCAGAGTTTTGATATGCTAAAGCTAGAATTTAAAAGGAAGTTAAAACTAGCCCTGTAACAGGCCGTGGAGGCATATAGGTTTGTGAGGCGTCAATGCTCCTACATTTTCTACACAGTCGGCTTAAGGATGGCGGTTAGGTTGTCAGCCTTACGCGCCGTCCGCCCTTTACCACCAGGAAGTTTCCTGGTACTCATTTCTGTTAGGCGCCGAGTGAAGCCCAGGATCATAATACGGCCGGAAGGATTAAATCAATTGAGAAATCCAAGGACCTCATTGGGAATCGAACCCACCACCTTCCTGCTTGTAGCGTAGTACCTAAACCAACTACGCTACCGCAAACACTATATTACGCCATCTGAAAAGGATTGAGCTGTCAGTGACTCTGTTATGTCGGATTTAACTGTGTATGCAATGTGTTCCGATCATTTCTCGAGGTTCGAAATGATTCCTTTGTTATTCTGGAGATAACGACAGAACTTGCTTTATGGCGGAAGAGTACTGCTTCTCTCTCCTCTCTCACATCCGGTTCTGCGTCTTCCTTTTCCCGAAACCGAAGCTCTTATTTTAAGTGTTAAACACCCATATCGACTGGTTTCGCCGATTTGCATTGGCAGAACACTTTGCCTCTGACGGCAAGTACTTACCTACCGAAGTATGAACAAGCCACTGCCTGATCACCTGTGACTCAGCTCCACAACCGTGAACGTAGCACACCTGACTTTTAATCGGGAGGTCCTGGGTTGAGATCTCTACCACTCGTTCATTGATTATATCGGCTGATTTTTGTCTCAGTTTTCAGCAGTCTCCCGTGAAAATCCTGGGATAACTCGTGAAGCAGGTCACGATTGTCACTTCCATACCGTCTCCAAGTCATCGTACAACTGGATAATATACAGGGTGATCCAAAAGTCTCTTTCCATTTTCGCGAACTCATCAGCAATTTTTGTTTGTTTCAGCCTAATCAGAGCTGGGAACATTGTCTTGAAATTGGAAGTGCAGGGAAAGTTGAGCTGTATTGAACGTTACACAACAGTGACACCCATAACATAGCT